GTCTGGATTAGTGGACATATCCGGGGTCCTTATTTGCCCTCGAAAGTTAATTAAGGGTTTCACAATCTATGCGGAAAATGTCAACGCGACCAGGGAAAGTGAAAATGGGTATCCCCCGTGCATTGAACCGCAAATGAGTATGAGTTCGAGTTCCAGACTCCAGACTCACCTTCTAAGTACATATATGACCACCACCCGCGGCGAAAGGATCATAATTAGCTGCGGCCGACGCTAATTGTCCTTGCCACGCCCCCTTTGGCCATTGTTCACATATTCCCGGGCTTCGAATTCTTCGGCCTCCCTTTTTGCCTGTTTTTAATGCACAATTTCGAGGGATTATGGCACCTACACTTTGGCTCAGATTGACTGGCACTTGGTGATTGCAGATGCAATTTTACCAATTTGCTTACGCCCTCAAAAACGAACAGAGCAATTACGATATTCACCATTTTAGAAACATCATATTTGCACATTCCATTGAGTTCTAAATATTTTATTTTGCATCTCGCAGAGCAGCTGCCAAAATATGTGCAATCAATTTTTTCCGGAATGATAAAGTTCCAAAAAACAAAAAAAAATCTGATATTCCAAATCATCAACATTTTTAAAACAAACGGTCAGTTTGCGATAACAAGTTTCCCATGGGACGCATTTTTTTGGCGATTTCCAATGAATGCGTTTATTTCAACTCTCCTAAAAGACCGGTTACTTTTTGGAAGCCTTATCAACTTCCATTTAATTTTGTCAAATTCCATTCCCGGGGACTTTTAATTCTGTCCTGACTTAATGAATATTTGCTCGTTCCCTTTTCCTTTAAAAACTTTTAAATACGCAAGCGAAATTCGTTCAATTAAATCAAATCGTTAGAGACGCAACAGGAAATGAACTGGTCGCAATTACCGTTACCCAATGGTGACCCCGATCCAGTCCATCCTGCCCAATAACACATACTATACACCACCACCCCCTCCCTAAAAACCAATATTTCTATTTGCCAACCCCCCGCCGCTTCTTACGCTTAAATATTCTCCACACCCACAAGCAATAATTTTTGGCAATTTAATTGAAAACCGAAAATGGCAAAGTTCCCTTTTGACCAGCGGACGAAATGTATTTAAAACAAAGGGGCGGGTGTATCACCCTAAAATGTTCTGGGGTCGGGGATAGTACGAAAATCGGGGCACGCGTGCGCAACAAAAGCGGACAAATGGTCACAGTCACGCGCCAAGAGCTAAAAGGTCAACAAACAAATAAACAATCCATAGTCCGAGCAAAATAGAAATAAAACCGGAGTTGGGGGGATGCTGAAAAATAAGGGTCGTCTATGCCAAAATCGAAATGAGTCGAATACCTAGCATAGTTTTTCGAATTTTGCGGTTGCCATTTGGTCGGAAGTTGGGAATTTCAGAAGAGGGTTTATTTCTTTCTTACTTGGGCTCATTAAAGGTCAACTGTGAAAATATTTTATGTCCATTTATTGCCCTGATGGTTTAATGGGGCCATCTCCCAGGACCAAAGAAGGTTCATCAACTTGTTTTCCTTTCTGGTGTGTTAAAGGATATTTGTGGGGAAAGGAGAGGGCAATTTAAGTGGTATAATAATAACAGAAGGGTTCCATGTGCACACTCGACAAGTTGAGGGGTTTCCATGGACATGGAAATAAATACTCATTAACTCATTTTCGGAAACCCAGGGCTTAAAAATAATAGACTGTTAGGAAAACAACAGAAAATAACATGTATTACAACAAAATAATATCCTTTACCTTTTTACTTCTTCGAAAGAATATTCATTTTTATTTTTTAAATATATTTAATTAGCAAGTAAAACATATCAACGTTATAAATTTTAAATAATGTGTAAGTCAAAAATAATAATAAGTAAATTATGTGCTTAAAAATCATGTGGCAACAAAGGCATATTTCACAAAGCCAAATTAAACAATATCCTGAGGAATAAAACCATTAAGATTCATTTTTTATCAGAGGGCAAATGCATCTTTGATTTCAGCCGTCAAAGTCCTGGGAAATGAACTCATACGGCGAATGCTTAAATATCAATTAATTACTGTGCATCCCGACGTTGGCACTTCGGGCCATTAGTTCATAAGTGCAACAATATGTCTATAGATTCACTCTGTATCTGTATCTGAGTTATGTGCTTTGTGTGTTCGATTTTAAAACCATAATTCATCATTTTGCCCGCTGAATGGCTGTCGTTCCTGTGCACTAATGATTTCCCAACTAAAGTTTCTGGCCAAGGCAGAGATTGAGATTGAGTTTTGGTCTTCGGTGCAGACAAAACCTGTCAGAAATTGAGCAGTAAGACATAGAACTCCACGGTTCTAATTGCCTGTAGAGTTATTAACCATTTTGAAATGATTTCGGGCTGCGGTTACCGTCATTTGAGAACATCTTCTTGATGCACCACGAAAATGCAGGTGTTCACCGCCGATTTGAACCCAAAATACCGAACACCGAACTCGATCCAGACTACAAATTGGAACTGAATTGCGGAGATGGCTGGAGGTTGATTCGAGGACCACCCATCTGAAAACTCAATCGACGGCTTCATTTGTCTGGCTGGCCATCAAATCAGGTAGCAGATAATCGGATATCGGGGTCACAGGTCAGGAAAACCATTTCAAGTCGGTCTGATCGGGTTATCACCATTGTTCACCTTTTCCCATAATTGTTAAATAATTGCAGTGCTCAAGGGAAAATCGATTTTTTTTTTAGGCATATTTCCTCTTGCGGTTTATTGTTTCAAAGGCAAGTAATAGGAGTACTATCTAAGCATATATCTCTGCCAAAATAAAATAATTTTCTTTGTGTCTTTAAAACATTTAAAAATATGTTTTTAAGCTAAAAAAAAAAGCCTTAAATTGTTAAATTTTTTTCAGAACATTCTATCAATAGTCAAAGACAACCAACTCCTTGTGAATTTGTAACCAGAATTTTCCCATCACTCCCGGCTTGGGGTCAAAGTTCGAACACATTAGCAAATTAAGTGTGAAGTGCGATTGTCACCACACTTCCCATAGTCCGCCGTTTAATTCAATATCCATCTGTGAAAAATTCGGAAAATTCGTGCGGCAGTGCGGCGGAAAAATGGAAATAAAATTAACACACTTCAAATCGGGCGAATCGGGTGAATCGTATCGGGTTTTGTGGGTGGAAAAAGAGGAAGACACAGAGCAATAAATAAAGCGCAGCGAAAGTGCGACATCAACGACAAAATAACAATCCAATAAATCACTTATTGGTGATTCGGGAAGGGGGTCTGTGTCGCTATAAAGATATATGTATATCCCTCCGTATAGGGTGATAAATTGCTCCGTCACACACACGACACACGAAAACAAAACAACAATGATAACTGCAGAACACATCGCATTGGCATCTATGCATCTGTCAGATACGCAATTTCATTTAGTAAATTGCACAGAACGCATTCAAACGTAACTGGTATTTTTTTTTGTTTCTAACAAAACGGGGAAAATCACTCCCCTCTCGTTGCGACTTTTCCACGGTTTTGGTTTGTGAGGTTAATTGGCAGCGTGGCAATTAAACAAAAAGAAGTTGTTCGTTCGAATCTCAATGTTGCACGGGCAACAAGTGTTCGTCGCCGAAATGTTGCCAGTCGGAAAACCGTCTCGCCTTTTCCCCCGATTTTCCCAAGCATTCGTCGTTTTCTTTGGCAGCAAGATCGTAAAATTAAATCCCGAAAATAAGACATCACACTTGGTTAGTTTCCCCCAAGCGAAATGTTGCAAGAGGCCCGAGCAACATGCTGCGCACTTCGAAGGATGTTGCGAGTGTGGGACAGTGGGACCAAGAGATCTTATGAAGGTAAAAAAAAATATGAATAAATTAGGATGCTTAACATTTTCACAATATAACGTCATTTAGTTCCATATAACTTGAGAGTATCGTATCTAAACTGTTACACCTTGGCTTCTTGATAAAATAAAATTTGCGTAACATATGGTAAGCTTTTTTAACTACTATTTTCACCGCTTTTGTGCCCCCAATGAACTAGTTATCATTTTTAATGATCCGTTCTTAAAGTTTGTTGACAAGCCCCACAAAGATTGAGCAACAAAAAACGTGTCAAAAACTCGACACCAGTCACTCGTAAAAGTGACGAAATGCGGCTTAAGTGCCGCCGCCCAGTTTCTCCGCCCATCGCCATTTGACCTTGCTGACACACGAGAAAAAAGGGGTTAAGTTCTTCGTCGTTTAACGGTAGCCACTCTTTCTCTCTTTTCCCCTCCAGTGAAAATACATCTTGCGAATAATGAAAAAATATGCTTATAAATCCGCTTACATTTTTTTGTATTAACTTTAATTAATTATTAATTAAAGGATTCGCACAATCTTTAGTGCCCACAGTGCCTCTGTTCTTTCTATTTCTCTCGCTTTCTTACTTTGCAACATTTTGAGTCTGCTGGCAACATCAGAGCTGCAACTGTAAGTAAGCAATAAGAAGCAGATGCGCATACTGCGTAGCAGATAATAAAAAATACATGTTTTTTTATGAAAAGGTTTTAACTGCTTCATCAACTTGGATCACTGAGTATGATTAATAAATTTAATTGTATTCTAAAACCTTATTTAGAGCATTAAAAAATTATAATCAACATTTATGTTTTTTGCATATGGGCTAATAAATTATCTTAATTTCTAAATATTAAATTGGAGCTAAAGTTATTAAGAAATTAAGAGACAACTGATTTGATTTAGATCATACTCCTGATGTAGTAATCTGAATAAAGTAACAACAAATTATCTACATCCCAAATTCCAGATAAATATTCTGCCACTTACTAGTCTTTCTGATTAGGTTAAGGCTAGGACACAATGTTTTTATATGTCCACTGTGCGACGCCTGCGCTGGCGCCGCTGTCGCTGCTACTGCCTCTGCCGTTGTCGCTGCTGCTGCTGCCTCTGCCGGCGTCAGTGGCGGCATTTCGACTTGGTTTTGCGGACGGTGCTTTCAGTTACGTTTCGACGGCCAACGCGTCGAGTGCTCCGCTCTCAGCCCTCGAATTCAGAAATTCAATATAATTCCCACAAAACGCTCTCTCGCGCTCTCTTCACTGTCTGTGTTAACGGTCGTGGCGCGTCGCGTGCGTTTGTGTTAGTGTGCCAGTTAAACAATGGGAAATTGGTAATAACAAATAACAATAATAAATTCCTATTACACCATAACTTGGCCACCAAAAAAAAACGAGACAGCCAAAATTCCCTAAAAAACCAAAAATAAACTGGCGACATACTTGTATCTTTTTTTTCTAAACTTTTTTTGGCGTGTGACAAAAAAAATACAAAAATATGAGACCTTCTCTCTCCCTCTCTCTGTTGTTTTTTGTTTAAGATTCCAATGAGTCACGTGTAAATATTTTTATTTTTCCATGAAAAATTTCATAAAAATACTATAAAAACCCTTTTGAAAACTCCCTCTAAAATGGAGTCAGAAAAGTGCATGTATAAAAAAAAACATCAACTGAAAAACAAGAAAAATAAAACGGAAAACAGGTTTTTGGGCCCGCTTCGCTGCCAACTTTGTTGTTGTTACCAACAGTGAGCGCTGGAAATTGACTCACACTTGCAGCTGGGCATATTAAAAAAAAAAATATAAACATAAATAAGGAAAACCTGGAAAAGTTGCCCACAACTAATTCGATATGTTAACAAAAAAAAATGCCACAGCAAAAGATGCTCAAATTTCACATCCAATTTGTGCCGGTTTCATTTTTCTCTTTGTCTGCCAAAATCGCCTTTATGTCCAAAAACAAAAGTTAATTTCGTTCGCTGTGGCTTCTGGTTAAAGTTTTAACGTAATTAAATATTTGTTTAAACTGTTGAAATGCCAAAACTAAAGTCAAAGTTTGAAAATAAATTTCTCGCTCTTTCTCGGTGCTTATTTTAAAAGTTTTTAAGCCTCACTTTTTGGTCATACAAATTGCCAGTTATATCTTCATAAATTGTTTTTATTAGGTTTCCTCAAATTTCACAAAGTAATAATTAAATGTCTAGTGGAAAATATGTACAGGACATTTTATTTTCTCTTTAAAAAAAAAGTTGATTTTGCTATTGGAAAATATCATATTTAAAAAGAAAACTTGTTCATACATTTGGTTTTAGTTAAATATTCCGTATATAAATCTTCCTTAATTTTCTGCAATAATTATAAATTCAAGACCATCCTATTTTTCTGAGCAATGTTAACCAATCAACTTAAATCGGGAAACCCCCGAAAATGTAATTAAAAATTTTCGGCCCAGTCGGAAGTCAAAATCAAATCATTTGACATCAGCATTAATAATTCACGAATAGCAAGTGGAAAACTTCTAAACTTTTATGCAACTTGAACAGATTGCCAAAAATTCTCCCGCCATCATTTTTGCTTTTAGCGCCTTTCCTCTTTTGCAAGTTTCCCATTATAATTAGCGTTTTTGAAACTTTATGAATATTTTAAGTCTGCTTGTCGAGTATTTTGTTAGGATGTTTCAATTTGCCAAAAGTGAGACAAAAGCTGATGTGCTAAACAAATTCCCAAGAATATTTTGCGTGCCGGAGACACATACGAGGTTTTCTAGAAAAAAGTCAAGGCCTGCCCTAAATATCGATTACCCAGTAACTGTAATAACCTTAAGCCAAATGAGAGGGGCGGTGAGAAAATCCCGCTGTGGAAAGTGGGCGGGATTAGTTGCAAAGACAAGCTCGCGGAAAAGCAGAAACAGTTTTCCCTCGCTTGAATGCCAATTGTTTCAATTATTATTTCAATTCTCCTAAAGATTTTATGGCAATTTCAGTTCTATTAATATAAACTGATATGGATTTAATAATGATTTTTTCGTTAAAAGACTAAGATGTTTTATTGAATGTATAGAGCTTTTATATCTTCTTTCCTTTTAGTCATTATTTTAAAGTCATGTTTTGTAAGTGACACGGGCTTAAATCATACAAAAATTTTTTTTTTTTTTTCATTTTTAAATTTTAACCGATTTTAAAGAGTTATGACTGTACCGTAGAGCTCGTTGCAACTCAAGGACATTTGGAATAGGTGCAACTTCAGTGTGTTCGAAAGTGGGGGAGCGATTCGGTGGGGCTAAGAGGGAGAGAGAGAGAGCTAGCTTGAGTCACGATTTATCGGAGTGACGAAAACAAATAGGTTCTCATAGCATAACCCACCAAGAAATCGCTAATCGAATTCGCTCTTTTACTCTCTTTCGTAGAGATAAGAGATATGATATAGTCTCTCTGTCTATATAGTAATCTCTTTCACCCACAAGATAACGATCTACGGAGTCACAATTTTATTGAAAATATTATTAAGAATGAGGGACCTGTATTTAAGCATGCAGGCCCTCCGTTCTTCCCTTACCTTGTTTTGAACCCCCCCCCTGTCTGTAGTCCACCCTATTTCCTTCCCGCACTACGTGTTTCGACTGCTGAGAGGCCCGCAATTTCCGTTACAAAAACTGGCCAACATGTGCGAAGTCGGCAGCGAAGCAGGTTTTATTTTTTCTTGTTTTTTTTTTTTTTTTCTTGGGTGCCGCCAACTTTAGAATGCAAAGGAGACAAGCCACACACAACACACATATAACACCAAAATCCATTCGTGTGCGACGCGTCTTCCTCTTCTTCTCACCCATAAATGCCAACGTTTGCCATTTGAATCAGAAATGCTAAAGTTATGACAAATACCAAATGCAGATGAACTTCTCATGCTCAAACTGTACATAAAAAGTCGGTTAAAAAGAGTTATTAAAAGTTGTAAGATAACTTGAGCTATTAAATTGCATTAATCTTAATACAATGGTATTATGAGGACTCCAAATCATAAAAAAAAAAACACGAAATCTGGGATTTCATCTATTTTTTAGGATCCTTGAACCAAATGAGCTAATTAAAAATTATATTTTTATAGTAAACTATATAAATCTCCAGATTGTGGAGTATGCAAAATATCAAAAACATAAATCCACTATCAGTACCTCACTAATTACATTACTCTTCCATTGTTCTTTTTTATATTCTTGCAGATTCACACACCTAAACAGCTACAAACATCTAAAGACGAAAAGTGTTAACCAAATATTTAATAATTTGTGCAATCACTGGCGTCGAAACAAACTGAAATTTTTTAATAATTTTTTTTCGTGTGCAACCGTAAACAAACCAAAGAAGTTAAACGGAAGAACTTGGGAGCGGGAAAATCTACGACTACCAACAAAAAATAAAGCGATAAAATGGGTGAACTGCGAAAATCGCTGCCGCTGCCTTCAATCAGCGTCTTTATAGCTCTGCTCCTCTGCTGCTGCTCTTTAATAGGTGAGTAACCGATAAAAACGCTCCCAAAGTCCCCAAGATAGGCCGTTCCTATTTGGTATTATAATTAGAAATGGGAACCAAAGGCACAAATTGTGGGGCATATGAAGTTTTAGAAAGAATTAGATTTCTCTCTTAAACCATCTTTGTTTACCATATAAAAACTAGTGTTTTTCCTTTTAAATAAAATTATTAAAGTCTTCAAAGAACGTTTATAAGCCAAGACTGTTTTTGCAAGTTTTCTTTAAGTTGTAAAACCTCACAAAAAATAGGAAATCCTGAAGATAATTTCTAGAACGAAAATATCTGTTGTATCTGTTATATTATAAAATGATAGTTCATTTTTCCACTTAGATCTTAACTATCATTCTAAAAATTGACAATTCATTAGCTAATATACCATTGTAACCCAAGGCAAGCTTATAAACCCAGAATTACGACAGCCATAAGCACTCCAATGACATCTTTCAACTAAGGTCTGGCCCAGCTTAAATCCGCTTATCAGTGGACAGGGTCATAATATTTTTTTTGTTTTTGTTATCCCACGAGATCTAGGCAGACAAATTACCTGAGCACTTGCCGGTTACCTGATGCCATGGACGACCCTGAAACGATCGCGCTACGCAAATAGAGACCCAAAAAAATAAAAAACAACATCCTAGGAAATCTAAAATCATCATGTTCCTTATCACAATCTTCCGAAATTCTAGAGTCAATATTTGTCTTACCTTAAAACAGACTCTACGAGTTATGGTATCCGAATCGTGGCTGGTCAAATATCGTAAATTGTTCAGTGAACATAAGAGAACTACAAACGCATCTTATCTCTAATTCCGGCACCTGACTTTGGAGCAGTACAATTTGGGCAAACATTCGTCTAGAGAACTAAAAATATTGCGCAAGAGTCACCTGTTAAATAAGACCCGGTTGCTAAGAGGATCTATAAGATACATATTTTAAAACATAGATTTTAGATTTTTACCTATTTTTTGGGCTTTGCATTTAATTCTTTAGTTTTTGGAAACTGGGAACTGTTAAATTGGGGTCTCTAAAAGAATTGTAGAGAAAGGCATATATCAAATTAATCAGGTAAATTCTTCAGAGATAATCAGCTAGTTAAGCTTAAAAACAAAACTAGTTTTTATGGAATAAATGAGCCTAGTTTAACGGAACAAAGAGAAACGATGTCTAGATTATTAATTAATGGATAAATAATAGGCCACAAAAAAGAAACCAAGAACGAAACACCAAAATTAGTTAATAACACAAGGAACCAGACTAGCAACAAATTGAAAGCTATATCAACTTGGCAGATTCATAATTCAGACAGTTTATAGTGTCGCTAACTTCTCGAGCGAACTGTAAAGTCCCGCGAAGAATCCAAAGTCGACTTCCCAGCAATTACCGCATCCGGTTTGGACCACAAAAGCTGGCGAGGCCTTTTAAAATGTTCTAATACCACAGAAAGTCGAATTTAATTAACGCCTCTTCTTCTCCCCTCCGAAATCTCTCCTTTTTCTGTATTTTTTCCCAAAGAAAAATCAGCAAGAGAAAAGATAAAAATTGGTAAAGTCATTTCAGGATGACTCAGCCGGTAATTGATCATGTTTTGGGATAGCTGGAAAATAGTATCTTTATATTTATCCACAGGAACCACTCTCTTGTAGAAAGTGGGAACAAGGGGGAACTCTTTTGTGGTCAGCTATGCTCTAATTTTCGAGCAGTAAACTTAAAACTTTTTATGTTGTTGCCGGTCGCTTTTTGTTTGCCGTGCTCTAAACGGCAGCTTGTTCTATATATTTTTTGTGAGAAAAACACTTTGAAGAAAAGCTGAAGAAAATGGTTTGAGCGAAGGGTGGGGGGGTTGTGCTAAAGTAGAAAAAAGGGTGGACAGTCCTAATTAGCTAAGCCCGAAACTGGCTTAATTGGGTGCCGCTTTCACTTCGGCCATCGCGCCTGGGAAAACTGTCAGTAAGACTGTTCGTCATACCATTAATGGGAGATGAGGGTCCCGAGATGAATGGAGAATCCAAAGGGACAAAGGGGCCAGCAAAATCTTGAGAGCTGCACTCCATCTTTTTACTAGTCTTTTAAAACAGAAGCAACTAAAGCTGAAAAATATATACCGAAATTATATTTAGGTTTTACTCGTTATAAATATCATAACAAATTCTTTGAACCAGTTATCAGCTAAATAAATATAACAGCATTTACATACATACATGTATATATATGTGAGGACGAGTCACGATTAGCACTTCCTATGGAATGCCAATAATTTCGGTTGATTTTGCCAACAATAAAAAAACGTGTTTTTAAAATTTATGTAGATTTTTTGCCAACAGCTTTGTTATCAGAACACAAGTTTGAGTTCCAAAAATTTGAATTTTAAATTTTCGTATCTTCATCTTGCAAAAACAAACGAAAACCAAATAAAATACCATACATACAAGATATGAAATTAATAAAATGGATTTTTAAAGGAAATAAACCTTTAAGCACCCTTTAAGAACTGGCATAATTTTGCATTCACTGTTCATTTACTGTCTGTATAAAAAGAAGAAACTGAGAATTCAGAGAGGGGTCTTGAGTTTATAACCCAAGCCCATGAACTCGACTTGGTACTTCTTCCTCGAACTGAGGACATTCTCAGAATTCTCTGACTCATATCTTTTTGACTTCTCTTAGTCAGTCTCTCACGTCCAGAATCCCCCGATCCCCCTTACTATCCACCTTTGTATCGAGGAGAAAGAGACGGGTTGATGGCTCTAGAAAGAGATAGGAATGGGGAACATCAGGTTGCTGCTCAAGTTGTTGCCTGAATGGGACAGCTTATGGTCAAGCGGGCAACTCTTGAGTTCTTTCTTTTCTTGTCTTTTGTGCCACTTGACAAGACAAAGATGGAGCATGGCGAAGAAAGAGAGGGGTGAGTGGTAGCGAAAGAGAGGGGGCGATTGTAAGTGAAGGAGTGGGGGTTGGGGGGTAAGGGGAAGGCAGGAAAAAGGAAATTCCAATTATGTTGCAAAGTCTGGCCGTGCGTAGAAAAGAATTGTTGCCGCTTCTTGTTTGCCTCTCGCTCACTCACCTTCTATATCCATATACCCCCAACCCCATCGCTTTCCTCTTCTCTTCACGATTTTCCCTTGCTTTTATTTTAATCCAGTAATGCCCGGGAAGACTTGCATTTCGCTTTAATTAATAAAACAAAACATTTCGGATGGGACAGCAAAACAAAAGGATTCAAGTGGATTGCAGAAATGATAATGAGCTGTGCTGTGCTATATCTCCCTCTCCCTGTCTCCTTATTATATAGGTGCCAATCTGCGAACGATCTTTATGGGCGCTCGATTTTTCCATTCGGTCAGAAACCCGAAATAAACTTCACAATAATTAGCAGGCTTTGTTGCACAAAAGCCAACCCGAAACCATTTAAATTAACTGCAAATAAGCTGGAAAACCCTGTGAAAGAGTCAGGGAAAATTAAAATAACAAAAAAGGTTCAGTAAAAGTTGAATTATATTAATTTTATATTTTTTTAAGCCCAACCTTTGCATACACATAATTATCAGCGATATGTGTAAAAAAAACATGTACAAAAAGCTGAGAAAAAAAGAAAAACTCAAAGTTAACAGGGAAAAAATTAAAGAATTGAATTAGTGTGAAAAATATGGCAAGACATTAAGTTGCTTTTTCTTTTTATGGAATGCAGTGAGTGTGGGTAAGAGAGAGTTGGACCAAAAAAGTGAGGGGTTAAGCCCGCATAATCCCAATGAAGCTTAAACAATGAGTCGGGGCAAGACAAGATACATTCCTATATATATGTATATAAATATATATATACAAAAAACGACAGCCAGAAAACAAAGAATGCACAGAAAATACAAATGAAGGATTGTGTTGTTAAGCCACCGACGACCCTCGCTTTTCCCCACTTGGATTTTTCCATCTTCAAGTATGATGAATGAATTTTAAATTAAAATTCAGACGAACCACAAAACAAAAAACGGTTGGGCCACATGTGTCCCAGGTCCACCGCCCGCATGGCGCCCAATCTGGGGCCCCACTTAATACGAACCTCGGATACACGATAGTTAACTTCTTTTAAAAATGACCAAAAATAAATTATTAATCTAGAAATCTAAAAGAATTTTTAGAAATTTGATTTTATGACTTGTATGATCCTTCATCTAAAAAGTAAAGAGAAAATATCCGTCTTTCCCAGAAAATAATTTGCACAAGCCACCTGACGCTTCGGAATCCGAATCCTTTAAAAGTTGCTAAGAGATCGAGATCTTGAGAGCCCGACTTTCAGAGGCAGGAAACCACGACCCGAGACGTGCCGGGCCTAATAACCAGCCAAAATTGAGTTATAACCAATTGGCAGCTACTCGATTTGGGACCCATTCCTTAGGCCTTCGCTTTCCTACCTGTTTTTCCATCCTATCGGATCCAAACCATCTGGGAGGTGCACAGGTAACCCGATGACGCCCCGGCATACACAACTAATTGCTAATTGGATTATGTCTTGCTCGAATGGGAGACCATTACAGGGGAGGGGGTGGTGGTCATTGGCAAGAAAGGGAGATACACACTGGTCACATATATAAAGAAATAAGGGAAGTGAGGTTAGGTCATTGATATCCGCCTTTGGCCGTAATCCAAACGGTCATCGGTAGCCAGACGAACCTGAGGGTTGATGTTCGGAATGTTTTTAATTGACTTGCCCCATTGAAATTGCTTAACAATGAGATACAACCCCCACTTCTTCTTCTCGCCACCCATGTGTGTGTGTGTGTGTGTGTGTTTGCCTGTCTGATTGCGGCGTCAATTGTCAATTTTTGTTACCTTCTGTGGCCGTCCGCTCGTCGGGTTCTTCTAATTGGTAATGCAAAGTGCATGGCCAGGTCCCAACTTCTACCGTCTCCTCATGTCCGTCGAAATGTCCACGTGTCTGTCCGTTTGGGTCCTTTGTTTTATTTCCTCTCTCTCCTGTAAGCCGCACC